ATGGTCCCAGACCGCCACTACTTTCACGCGCTGAGCGGCCAAATTCCACATGATGGAGTTCCCGAACATGAATTTGCGTAACCGCACATTTGATGGAAAATACGATTCATTTTCACTTTAATTAAATTATGCAGTGAATATATCTGGGATCGTGGTGAGCGAGAAGCTTAATAAAACAACCAGGCCGCGTCCAAAATAAGCTGCTCATTCTACAGGCCACCCGAGTCTAAATTACTTCAACTTCCTTTCAAAAGTTCACCTAAAACTTCCTGGAAGCACAACAGGCATCCTCAAATGAAAATAAAGAGAGTTAATTGGTCAAAACAACAGCAATTATCAAAACAATGAAAGGAATGGAGACCAATAGGCAGAAAATGTCTACAAGTAGGCCATGCTTTTGGATTTTGCCTCAGAATATTGCTTTAAAAGTAACAGATTATGTAAACAGAATAAAGCTTTAATAAGCACATTCATTATTCTGTATTTTAAGTAATGCAAAAATACAAAATGTGACTGGATAGTCAACCTGAAATGTCATTTAAAAAATGTTTTGCCTATAAATATATTTATTTTGTTTATATGCAGCACCAACAAAAATAATTAGAGCAAATTATAATTTAATTAAACAATAAAACATAACAAAATACTAGCTTTTAAACGATAGGATTTGAACAGGTCAAGAAAAGTCGGGTTGGAGGGCAGGGGAGTAAAAGGAATTAGAGATGCCATCCAAGACATATCTAGGGCCCTATGAAATCCATTGTATTTTTTTTCAAAATTCTGTTTTATTTTTTTTCCCAAATTCCATTTTTTACTTTTCTGGATTCTGTTTTTTTTTTTCCCCCCGATTTAATTTTTCTAGACTCTGTTTTAATGGTTAAACTAAATTGTATTAATCAGAAAGCATGTCTAATTAATTGAAATAATGAAACTTACAATATTTAGCAGCAATTTATTAAAATTTTAACAAAAATTACATTTTAAGGCCCTATGAAATGTTTTTTTTTGCTCAAATTCAGTTTTATTTTTACCAAATTAAGTTTTCCATTAATTTTATGGATTCCATTTAAATAGTTTAATAATCAAAAGCATCTCTAATTAACTGATTTTATTCAACTTAAAAAATATATATATATTATTATTTTTTAAATTTTTCTGCTAAATAAATTCTAGGAAATAATTTTTCTAGTAAATATTCCTTTAAAAATAATGTTTTAATAATAATTGTATTACTAGTAGTAGTAGTACTATCATTACATTAAGTAATATATTTCTGTCACAGTTTCTTCAAGTTAAACCGAACTTTTATTTTGACGGGTTGCGGAGAAGACCTTTAAGTTTTTGTTTGTATATGATATGATGATAGTTTTTCTCAAATGAAACGGTCAAATGCTCATGAAGTGACTCTCAGAGCAGTTCTAGAGATTATGTTTATGTGTTCATGTACTCAAATATTGAGGAGGCACAGGCTGAAAACATCGCAAGCATCACACACTTCAGTATGTGTGTAGTAAACGAAACCGCGTGTCTGCGCCATTCATACACAGAGACACACAGAACATGCAGGATTTATATTTAACACTAGTCCATGTCACGTTCTGATGTAAGTGTACTAACCTACTTTTGATTTATCCATCCAAAATTTGGCAAATTCCGTGACATTCCGCATTATACAGTAAATACAATTTTTATGACTGGATTCCATGATTCTGTCTGCGTTTTCCACATCGCGGAAATCATAAGGCCCTACATATCACAAAAAAAAATTATGAGCAAGGTTATAAATGTGTATAAAAAATTCTTAAGATATAAAGTGCATGTTATCTTTAAAACTGGAGTTTGCCTCATCATTATCTCTTCCTCTATCTCTTTCTCCATTCTGAGCTACTTTCCCAAGCTATTCTATAACAGGCCTGTGAAAGGAGGTCACATATCAACTTACCAAGTGTCCCTCTCTGACCATATGACCCCTTCGGCAGTCCACGAGGCCCCATGTCATTCCATCACACTCTCTCTCTCGCTCGCTGTCCCCCTACATTCACGTCTTCCAAACCACCATCTAAAAGCAGCCCCCCTCCCCTCATCTGCCCATAACCCGACACTAATTGGTAAATCTGTTGAACCATAGCACGCCCAACAATGAGACACCTGGAGTTCTGTCAAAACAAGTTTCCCTGTGAAATAGCCTCAAGTGCTAATACAGTACGAGTCCTGGCTAACTCCGTCTCGCGAATATAATGCGTGTGTGGTGGGGGAGGTGTTATAGAAAGGTGTAGTGAGGTGCAGTGCGGAGGGGAAGTGTTAATGGCACTTCTATTAAAGTTTAGAATCTCAGAAGGAGGAGCACGATGCTGTCTGGCTCCACTGGAAGTCCACAGGAAGTCCTTGTGGAAGTTTTGGCCCCGACAAAAATCCCAAACATTCTTGCAGTTCTTGTTCGGCACCCTCCCCACCCACTATCCCTTCTGTGCTCTCTCTATTTTAGACAGACCATGAAGAGTGCTCTACGTAAACCTAGAGTGCTAACAGGGCAACATGCTGTGGTTTGTGTGAAATCATGTGCAACTAAACATGAAAACTTAACTGAGAACATGGAATCTGCATATTTGCTTGCCAGTTAGCTGAAACAACACACACAAACACAAGCAGCGACATACATGGAGGCAATAGGTCAACACATGGACAAACGATTGGATTTTTCACTCAAGTTTTGACTTTCACAAACACATATGAAACAGATAGGCTATACACTACTTAAGGAACTCTTGGTGAACCTTGTCAAACAAGTTCTGACGGAAACTCTTTATGAAAACATTTCTGCCCCCAGCAATGAGTGTCAGAAAATAAAACGTATGAAGATTCATTGTTTTGTGATTTTATATACTGCCCCTAGACTTAACTAGCTTACCCAGCAACAATTCCTTATACTTTAGTCAACCAGCTACATTTCAGCAGCATCAAACCAGTGTGAACTAGCAAACCACCATGGAAAGGTAATGCAAGTGGCTGGATTCAAAGAAACATAAAAAAAATTAATAATTTTAATTCAAATTTTCTTAATTTTCTTTTTTTTCATACTTAAGAAAAATAAGTTAAATATTTTATATTCCACAAAAAAATATTAAGATAAAATATATTAATAACTAAGAATAACTATATGACTCAAATTATGTCTCTAATTCTATGTTCAAACCAGTAAAAATTAGTCAAAACCAGTAGGAAAGCAATACTAACTCTAACTTGGGGTCAGATTCAATGAAATAATTTAATATTCCAATGTATATAACAACTACTTTATTCTTAATACTTTATTAAGAAAAAAAAAAAGTAAAATTTCAGAAAAATGTCTTAAAATATTTTTTTAAATAAAAAAATCTTCTTAAAAATAATTCTAAATAACTTGAAACAACTAAAAAGACTGTCATTTTATTCTTAAAAAATAAAATTAAATAAATTAGTATTTAAGAATTTTTCAAGAATTGCACTTATTTTATCCTAAAACCTTAGTATAGGAGCAATAATTCTCCTGTGAGACTTGCTTTAGCTGCTCCGAAGGTTAGCTTTAGGAATTGCTGCTGGACTCCAATTTAAATCTCACAAGACTTTTCACAGAATGAGGGTTACCATCTCGACATGACCTTACATGACCCTGAGGGACAAGACAAAAATAAGACAAGTACATCCCACAATGCCACAGCTTTCTCTATAGACCTAAACACAAGGAGATGAGGTAAACAATCGCTCGCCCCACTGATCCTTGCACTGCTGCTGAGTTTTGGCAGACCAAGGCTACACATCGTGCCCCCCTTTCAAATTCCACACACTGTTTGTGTCCATCAAGGAGGGCCGAGGCGCAATTGAGACACTCAGCAGCAGTGGCCCCATGTTGCGTCACTCCACGCCACATCAGAACTGAAGAGCGGTGCCAGACAGGCACTCTCGTTCGCCGTTCTCGATCTTTCTCTCTCTGCCTCATGTCGATGGACAAGAGGACAATTAGAAGAAGGCCTTGTATCACCCAAACATCCTTAACCTCGACCCATGCAAACCAAGTCACGTACATTTACACACACATGGGTGCGCGTGTGCACACAAAAACACAAACCACTCCACCTCCTAACTTCTCGCTGGCATACGTTCAACCCCAGATGCTACAAATGAAAAGCATCCTCTTCATGCCAGCTGCTTCAGAGAAAAGGAAAAGAAATCAGAGAGAAATAATCGCCACCATTCCGGAAGATGCAGGAAAATAATTAACAAGGCTGAAACGGGGCCTGCGAGCAGACAAAGATGAAGCTCAAGAGGCATTTCGGGCTCCCAGGAATCCAGAGATGCTGAATTTTACACTGCTGGAGTGGCGCTGATGCTTTCCTGTTACACGCAAACACTGTATATCATAACAGGGATCCTGCTACAGACAAAAAGCATGGTGTCAAAGGACAGCAACAGTTTACAATTATCACACAAGCAAAAGGCACAAGGGCCAAGCCTGCTCATGAGGGTGTGTGTGTGTGAGTGTGTGTACAAATGCAAAGTAGATTCAACCCCATTTTATAGAAAAAGAGCAAGAACACAGCAACAAACAATATCAAATACAGCAGAACATTGCACTGTAATCAAAACCAAAATAGTTTTAGACATCTCTCATTGTAATGATTTTCATATTCTCTATTCTATACCCTGTTGGAAAACCCAGCTTAAGATGGAAAACTGTAACATGGTTGCTGGTATCTAGTTGGTCAAAGCTCTTCCAAGCTGGTCATTAGCTAGTTACCCAGCCATGATGTCCCAAAATCCATCCTGACCACCTTTAGCTGGTTTGTTATAGGTCAAAGATGGTCTACCAGCTCAGACTAGCTAATGACCAGCTCGGACCAGGAAAGAACCAGTTTAGGCCAGCTAGAAAATCAGCTACCAGTTGAGACTGGATTTTCCAGCAGGTAATTCATTTAAACAATCAATAAGCCAGCTGCAAGAAACTTGGAATTCAGGATTCTCACCAACTGTAATTGGTGAAGACTCAGATCAGTCTGTCCGGGGAATTCCAAGCAGAAGGGCCCCTGCAAGGCAAAGACGGACGTCCCGTGTCACAAATTGAGAACATGGTACACTCATCACTCAACCAGGGCATGAAGGCAAAAGTCATGACTTTTAAAACCACAAAAATGTCTAGCTATGTGTGCCACCCCTCTCCTTCCCTGTCGCTTACCTCTCTGACTGCAGTGTCAGGCCGCTGCCAGGTACAAACCCAAACATATCTCGCATACAACACACAACACACGCAGAATACGCAAGTGCATGTTTATTTACTGTGATTTGAGGTAGAGATGCACCGATTGCAATTTTCTTGGCCGATTCCGATTTCCGATTTTTTTTGTTAGTGTGATCTGCCGATACCGATTTTTGCCGATTCCGATTTTCTTTCTAAGAACTATAATTGACAGCATATACAAACAAAAACGCAAAGTTTTATTTACATAAAAAAACTAGTAAAAAGTCAGTAATAATATAAGAACAGCACAAATAAATGCAATAGAATAAAGAGAGCAATGAAACTAAGTTTTTCAGGTTAAGTAAGTTTTTATTCAGGTAAGAAATACTACAGAAATTAAAGTAATCAAATGTAAAATAGCACATCCAGTGTTATTTTACATTTGATTACTTTAATTTCTGTAGTCTTCATTGTAAAAATTAAATACAGATTAATGCTTACCATTAAAGATATAAAACGTATTCAGTCAAGAGCAGAAAGTGATTTTCTTTGTCTTTTGTTCTTTGATTAACATGACAGACAGCAGTAGGAATATTGGACTGCGGTCCCTTTAAGAGTTTATCCACGGACTCAATATATAAGGCCTGTTTACACCTGGTCATTTCATGCATTTTCGCTGATCGGATATCTATCACATTAATGTGTCGTCACAAAACAGATTTAAATCCGATCTTCAATTCCCGCGCTATATTTAAATTTCAGTTCACGTCAACGAATCAAAAGATAAGAGCTGCATTTTATTAATTATCAGCTCATTTCAAGATCAAAGACCGCAATAGGAGAGCGCGCGGCATCAGCACTGGAAAGATAAGTTTGTCTTACTACTTTTAATGAAGATGATTGTGTGTACTTTCAGTTTCATTTGTGGCAGTTTGCGCGTCGGCTTGCTGAAGAGATACTCAGCTACTCGTCCGCAGTGATGCGTGTTTCATTAGCGCAGTCTGACTAATGTCATATAGCCTATAACACGCTCTCACACGTTTATTATTTTATCATTTTGGGAGGAGTAAAATTTACATATGTGGTTTCAACAACCAGATGCATTTACACTTGTCGAGTTTCGTCTGGAATGCGGCCCAGACCACCTCCTGAAGTGGTTTGAGCGATCGATTTATATCCGCCTCGAATGCGTTTTGGAGGGCATTTACACCTGGTCTTTTCAAGATTGGATAGCTATCCGATCAGAAAAAAACGCATGAAGTGACCAGGTGTAAACAGGCCCATGTTACAACATGCGTTCTCTTTCTCAAGTATTTAACGTTCCAAAACTGACAGTGTTTAACTGGATACTCGCCAAGACGGGCATTTTGAAATAATTTTGTATGTATTTCAGAATCAGAATCAGAATGAGCTTTATTGCCAGGTATGTTTACACATACGAGGAATTTGTTTTCGTGACAGAAGCTTCCACAGTGTAACAGAATGACAGTGACAGAACAAAAAACACAGATAATAAAAATAAAAATAGAACAAGTAAATAGGGAATAAAAATATATAAATTGACAATTGTGTGTGCATGTATATTACAATAGACAGTTTTTGTATGCACAGGTACTGTATATTATTATTTGAACGTTTTAGCGCAGTTGGCCACTCATTTTGGTATTTGTGGCTCACAAGCTGTTTGAGACTGAGTGCGGCTTGTGTGCGCGCCACTAATATTGATCAGTTCTGGTGTGAGTGCTTTTGGTGTAAGCACGAAACCTGCGGGAATGACTAAAATAATGCGCAATACAAGCATTTAACCGGAGCGAATGAGACGTGTGAGAGTGAAGGAGTTGTCGGAGAGAAGAGAGCGAGAATGTGCAGCTGGCGTTGTTGCCTGTGCCGCTGGTAACAAAACGGATCGGCTCGGAATCTGAAAGAAGTGAGACTGATCGGCAGATCACCGATCTGGGCCAATCATGAGGAAAATCAGCCGATTCCGATCCCTGGCCGATCGATCGGTGCATCTCTAATTTGAGGTTGTGATATTGTTAGCATGTTGGCAGCGTCTACATCAACTGACTGACAAGAAGAGTACTGATGTGGCTTTAGGCATTGAGGCTCTGAACACCACGTTCCTGTTGCACCATGTCATCTGAGAAAAAGTTAGACTTTGTGGAAACAGATACTTTTTTTTCAAAATTGTTTGATGAATAGAACTTAAACAAATTAAATTTACATGGAATATAAGTCTTTTGTCATTTTATAGATGCCTTTACGTTCATTGTTGATACATTTAATACATCTTTGCTGAATAAAAATACTAATTTCTAAAAAAAAAAATAATAATAATAATCTTACTGACCCCAAACTTTTGAATGGTATTGCATCTCAAACGTTCCTCCCAAAATACCTTAAGACAACAGAAACAAATTATGTATGCACAATATGCTAATATTATAGAATTTACTAACACTGTTAAATGTAATCTGTAAAAAAAACTCAAAATTAATATTCATTAAACATACTGTATATCATAATTTTGGGATGCATAATTCCATTGTAACATTTAAAACAACTGCTTTTTAGATTTATCGTAAATTTATTTAAATAAAATTCATTTGGCCTCTTAGCTGCCATACCATAAAATATTTATCGAAAAGAACATAAAATTTTAATAACTATTTAATATAAAAATGAGACAATCTAAGCAAATCAAACACTGGCAAATATGATTACAGTAAGTTAAGATCACTTCTGAAACTCTAAAGAAGACTAAACAGGACATCTCAGGATTCAAATCTGAGATTTAAAGTCCCCATGAAAACAAAATTAAAGTTTTTTGAGTGTTAGTATCAATATGTTATTCTTAAGGTTATCTATAAGGCAGTGTGCTCCAAAACAGTGACAAAATTCGCATTTAGAAGATATAAGCATTCAAAGCTTGCAGTTCGTCACTTCCGCCAAAACGGCTCAACAATTTTTTTTTTGACATCACATCGTACTTCAGCTTCTCATCAAACTTTCTGTCCAATCAAATGCTCTCTAGAATCCGAAGCGCCCGCCCCCTACACTATAAAATAGACGCTGAAGCCGCGGCTGAAATCGGTCACTTGTCCACAGAATTTGTATTTTCTGTATAGTGAATGGCACGTAGTGCACTATATAGGGGACAGGGAACGATTCAAACAGTGTAAATATGCTTTCCACTGAGGGAAAAAAAAAGAAGTCTGGCTTCGCGCTGTGTTACGCTAACCACCGCACCGCACCGCACACACACTCTGCTCCGGTCCAGAGACACGATAGCACGGAGCGGATCACATGCGCGAGTCGGCGCAGACCACAAAATGTATCGGAGCTATTTGAATTCTACACAGAATGCTATATTTTATAGCAATATGGATGAGATTGTGGCTGGCATACCCTGTCAAATGCGGCTTTACGGAGCTCAACGGCTCTGAACGGCTCTAGCCCAAGCTGTGATATAAACGAACGCTATTGGCTATTTTAAAAAGGGGCGGGGCTGCTTGATATGTCCCACCCTGTCTTCCTGTTTCAGTTCAAATGACATCAAGTCATTACATAGAGTAACGCTGCGTGTTTCTAAGCATTTCAGGGGACCTTTAAAGTCACCATTTTAGCTCCATTTAATCTGTCCAGGAGAAACTATTATTTGAGAGATATTAGAGATCTCAAACATTGCCCTGCAAATTGTCATGTTAATTGGAACAGTTGTGAGTTGTGAGCATCCTGCACTCACAAGGTTACATAACAATATAAAAGACAGAAGGGCTGATGACCCTGACACCAGGTCCCTCGTAAAAGCATTTGTTGACATTCCTTGAGTTTGGTTAAGGAAATGCTCCAGGGAGGCCTTTGATGCACTACACAAGAGAACAAGCTGAGATGTTCTCCAAGATTTGGCAAAGGTCTCAGGACAAGTGACATCTACTGGTTTCACACGGTCCTGTCAGGAGCGGCACAACTTCGGTTACAGTTACATACAACAGGCCGGGGTTACATCACTATTAGGGGTGCAACGGTTCAACTTACTCACGGTTCGGTTTGTATCACGGTTTCGGTACAGTTCGGTATGTGCTATGTTTAGGGGAAAAAGTATATTGTCAAATAAAAATAAAGAAAATAAGAACAAATAATCTAACTACAAGCAACAGCCAAATAAATAAACAGTGAAAAAAGATACAAATAAAATAAACAGTGCTTTTCAGTTTTTTTAGGTAGGTCTACCATTAGTTTTTAGGTACAGAAATTGAATAAATCAAATGTAAAATAACATTGCATATTTGACTGTATAAATTAAAGATTAATCCTTATTAAAGTTACAAAAGTTATTCAATCAAGAGCAGTGAGAGATTTCCGTGTTGATGCTTTAAGAGTGCACTGATACAGTTCGTTCAGCCGACTATGTCTGCTAGAATACTCTCCAAGACGGGCATTTTGACATTATATTTGTGTGAATTTGTCCATTCATTCGTTCTGAGATGCGGGTTCACATGCTTCGGATGAGCGACCACACAGATCTTCTTACTGCGTGTGCGAGTTCACGTCTTCTGGCTCTTTAATATTTAAACTGGCAAGGCTTAAATGAGTTTAGTTTAAACACAGATAGCAACGTGTGCTGTTCAGGTCTCACCTGCGCTATCAACACGTGATGATGGCATAAATGACAGTTATTCCAGCATAAAGCACTCGCATTGATTAAAGAGTGACTAGTTTGTCCACGCATTGTTTTTTTTTTTCTCTCTCATTGCTCTTGTTGTAATGTATTGGGAAGCCAGAATTTGTATCCATCAACAGAAACATGCATTAGCCGAACTCTAACAAACCATATTACAGATGCATTGTCAGATTTAAGTTGAACCACGGTCCTAGTGCATGCCGAACCGTGTGAGGAGAACGGTACGGTTCGATTTTTTACCGAGAACCGTTGCACCCTATGCACCAAACAGCACCAAAAATGACGGGAAGGAAAAGGCGGAGGCCCTACGGAGAATGAGGGAGCGAGAAAAGTGAGAAATAGTTAGTAGAAAAGGAAGGAGAGAGAAAAAAAGAAGTTGGTTCAGTGTCTTGTGGCTGTGACACTGGGGTCCTCATTAACAGCGAGGGGGCTGGGGTTTCCCAGCATGCCTCTGGCCCTCCCAGCCATTGTCAAGCCAGTCCAGGTGCACCACCATTCAGTCCGGAAAAAAGGCACCAAATTACCCAGCAAAAACTACAGGCCTCGTGCTAGCTTGAGATGCTACTCCTACTCAGCTGGAGTCTGGGAAAAGGTCCTGCATACTTTATCTGTGTGAATAATTTACTTTACTCTTTATTTATAACGTTAATTTCAATACTCAACTTTAAGAACAGTTTAAACTTCAGCTACGACAGACTTGTGTTGTGACATCAAACAGCAATCATGCCCTCATCGTACAGCGGTTCAGGTGGGAGGTCCCGCTCTGTCAAAACACAACACATTCCATCACTTCCTAAATACTAATTACCATACAGGAACAGACCAGGACTCCTCCAGCTATTCTTTCAAGCTCCACCCCTTATATTCTTCCTCCTTTCTCTACATTCTCACTGTTCCCGCGTTTTCCTGCTGTTGGTTCACTTGCACATAGTGCTTGCACGCATATGCACACTGTTGTGGGGCCTCGTGGGGAAATAGTTAACACTCCAGCCGTCCCCTGCTGCCTGTGAAAGCCCAGAAAACAATGGAGACATTGTCCAGTCTCAACAAGACTCGGAGCAAGAGGACAATGTGTGTGTGTAGTGCGCCTGCATGAGGTTGTGTGTGAGAGTGTATCCTTTTGCCTCAGCATTATTTTAGAGAGTAGCATTTAAATATGAACTTAAACTCTGTGGTAGATAGCCAGCAATCCATGAACTTCTATTTCACTGATTTTATCTGAATAAAATTAGTTTGATAAAATAATTTACAACACATATACACAGTTTCCACTAACAATTTAGTATGTCACCCGACCTGCAAAATGACTACAATGGCTTTGCCCTGGGTATGGTTAGTGCACTTTCAACTCAAGTCAACTTTTAAAAAATAATTTAATTAATAATAATAATTTTTAATATTATTAATATTTATTATAATTTTTTAGATACATTTTTTTATTAGTTGCCCCTTAGTTCTCTGTCTGTGAAATAATCAGTACTTATTAATTTTGAAAAAAACTCAAATTGACATTTCCTGTGTAAGCAGACAGTTGTTGACCATAATAAAAAGCTGCCCAGATTTTATTTTGAGAGTCAAACATCTGGCTTTACCAGTCTTATATATGGCCTACACCAAGAAACGCTACACAGGGAAACACTGACGGACAGCTGTGCATGCAAGTCGAGCAAGAGAACGAGAACAGGAAACTGATCCCGGAACGAATGGCCAATGTGTCACAGATGTGGGGAAATCTATCGTGCCGTTGTTTCCAACTCCTTCCCACTAGAATTGCAATCTCATGATCCCCGCTCATACCGTGCTTGAGTTCAGACTCAGTCCGATGCCAAATACACACCACATGTGTTTCGCAGTCTACCTGTCTGAATTGTCATGTCTATATTACAGTCTATATAAAGAAAGGGCTTTACAAATCACATTAAAAGTTAGTGGAGATGACAGTGGGACAAACGGCTTGTGGTACTTTGTACTTGACGTGTTCTTTATGACTTGTGAACAGGTAGTAAATGCATGCTGACTGTGTGGGACAAACAGGCTTTGAAAACCCTGCAGGGCTCTTGAGTACTTCAAACATCATGGCACTGCCTTCTATGGGCGTGGACAGAAACGAGATGGTCACTTCCTGTGCTCTATTCATAGAGCAGTGTGGTGTAGCACTTGTATGGCCACATGTGACTGTAACAAAAAAAGATTTCTATGACTACAGTCACACAGTTCGTGTTTAAAGGGGTCATATGACGTTGCTACAAAGAACATTATGATGAGTATTTGGTGTAATGCAATGTGTTTATGCGGTTTAAGGTTCAAAAAACACATTATTTTCCACATACTGTACATTATTGTTTCTTCTCTATGCCCCGCCTTTCTGAAACGCGTCGATTTTTTACAAAGCTTATCGTTCTGAAAAGCGAGGTGTACGCTGATTGGCCAGCTATCCAGTGCGTTGTGATTGGCTGAATACCTCAAGCGTGTGACGGAAATGTTACGCCCCTTAACATACTGTGACGCCATCTCCTGGCACGGCGAGACAAAACCAATAAAACCCATTACAAACGAGGCATTTGTTGCATCCAGTGGGGACATAATTACTGATTATAATGACTTATACTGTGTTTTTACGCGTTGCGTTGCGTATCGCGCCGGGTAAACATAAAACCATGTCTGCATTTGTGATCGGAGAAACAACAAACAACAAGCGCTCTACACTCTACACTGCTTAAAACTCGTGTTTGAATCATCAGTGGCAAATTCTTTAAATATAAAAAATGTACTTACAGGCTATGAGTCAGAAGCACCAGACTGTCCTTGCAAAGTTGGAACTGCCCCACTTTATAGAACAGCCTTTGAGCACAGACACATTGTAGGCTACTCTGCCGGTTCAGGAAACAGTCCTCCATAAAATGCATCACACAGCGTCACACACTGCGGGCTTGAGTGAGCGGTTGCCGGCGGGCTAGAGAATGGCATGGCCGGCGGATTCGACGAAGGAGCAGCCGGCGGGCTTGCAGCAACTACATGTGACGACCCCAGGCTGGACTCCACGGTAAAAGCCGATCCGGCGATCCACAGCACGAAGTTGATGTATTCCCTCAGCGACCAGCACGGATCAGCTCTAGGCATGACGAAGCAGATATCGTCCTCTTTTGGAAGGCCAAACAAAGTAGTTTCGCTTTCACAACGAAACACACAGCGTCTCCACAACATGGCGGCGGTGGCAACAACAATACTATAGCGAGAATAAAAGTTACGCCTTCTTTCTTTGCGTGAACATTTGGGCGGTGTTATGCAAATCTTCCCACACAGTGACGTAGACATGTGGGGGCATGTTTAAACGAGGCGTTTTAGGGGGGCGTGGACAAGTCTTAACTTTTATAAAGAATATCTCTTTGGATTTGAGATTTTAGTCTTTGTAACTTTACAGATCTTCTTTATGCACCAAGAGCTTGTAACACTCCAAAGAGAAAGGAAAAAATGAAATCGCATCATATAACCCCTTTAAGACTGACAACAGTACTTACTAACTAGTGGTTGGATTCCACCTCAGATTAATAAAAAATAAAAAAAACCTTTATATCTCAAAACCGTGATTTATTTTTCATAATGTGATTTTTTTTTTAAACAACATTTAATTAAAAAGAATAAATAATATAAGACAACACATTTAATACTTTTTAATTTAATATTTTTAAAAGATTTCCTGCTGTATTTTTTTCCTCTGAGGCTGAAACAAGCATCCATGCACAGGTGACTTTCACAGGAGTTTTTTGTATATTTTCTATATGAACAAATAATCCATGTCAAGCCCTTTTTCTGTTCTTGTGATAGCCATAACAATTTTAAAGAGTCACTTCGGTTATAAAATGCAGTTTATAACAGAACTGTGTATGAAAATAACCATATTTAGCACTCTAAAATAGGACTGACAACTGTATTTTGCTGCTGTGTGAATGCAACTTATGTCAAGTATCTGCCTTGTGTGTTACTTCAATCTCTTTTAGCTACACTTTTAGACTTGTTTGTTGTCTCTCTCTCTCTCTCTGTGTCTCTTTCTTCGCTCTCACTTCATCTACCTCATTGCCACACTATCCTTTTACGGTATCACCTCCTCTCTTCCGCTGTCCACCTGTGCATTTGTATCTCTCTCATTGGTGATTGTTGGGTCACTTGAACTTCGGCTTATGTTCCTTATCTCACGCCCATCGGCGCGCTCTTATCAGCCCACGCCAGACAGGCGTCTTCAGAGCCATGGGTCAAGGTGGGCAGGTGTTCTTCCAATTTGACAGAGAAGAGAAACTACTGTTTACGGTACAATTTATTGATAAGGCCTTCACGTACTGCAGCATATAGGCCAACCTGAGTTAAAAAAATAAAAACGCTCAGGGCAATCCACAGTTATCTATCCCTGACAATACCATCCAGATTCACCAACGGCATGATGCAAACCAAGGAAACATCAAATCAAACACACATCAGCAGAAGAGAGAAGGATCACGAATGGGAAAGCGAGAGAGAAAGACGGAAGGATGAAGAAATAATGCAAAATACCATGTTAGGTCTTGATCAAACAGATACAAATCGTACGAATGAACCAAATAAATAAACGACTGTAAATGCTAAATAGCTAAACATACCATATAGAGCAGAATATGAATACTCTCGCTGTAGGTTGTTTTAAAAGGCAATAGAGAAAACTGCTCTGTGCTGATAAGCATTTACAGCCTCATGAGTCAGAGGGATAAAACTCAAGTGCAGTATTTACCTGAGCCTGTTCTTAACTACCTCCCACACATTTAATGATTCAGAGAGGGAGGACAATAATTTTTCTCTTTCTCTTAAAAAAGTACATGGGATGGCTACCCTACATTTAAATGCAAAAATAGTTTACTACCGGTTCAGTAGAAGCATTACATGGCTCTTTAGTAGTGTTCCCAATTCATTCATCAGGTAGTCTAGGAATTATTTAATACTTAATAATACTTTAATAATACTTAAAACTGAAGTGGCATATATACACTACCATTTGAAGCTTTGTCATCACATGAATAAAATACATGAATTATTTTATTTTAAATTGCAATATTTCAAAATAGTACTGTATTTGCAGCCTTGGTGAGAATAACAAGTCTCTTTCAAAACCTTTTTTAAAAATCTTACCAACCTCAAACTATTTAATAGTAGTCTATCTAAAATGTGGAAAAAACATGTAAAAAAAACCTCTTTAAACAGCCAATAGTTTTTAGTTTATGTCACAGCCAACCATGATTCTCTACTTTTTACTTTTGGTCTAGAAGAGAAAGATTGCATAAATGTGTTTTTTTGGGGGGGTTTTTTGCTAAAAAGTTATTTTGTCAACTTTTAGGAGTATCTCACACACACATGGTCTCAAAAAAGACAATAGGCACATACTAAAAATCAAAAAACCATTTTAATTTTCACTTTAAAGGTAACTGGGAATATTAAATCTCATTATACCACAATAACATGGTAAACAACCAACCAAAACAACCCACACCTATTTAAAGTAAAAACAACTAATAAAATTGAATCCAGTATGTTCAAAATGTGTTTATCTCTCTGACAGAATATTATCCTGGATTCGATGGATTATTCTCTTGTATTCCTAAAAAAGACCTTGGAGGCACTCTGTTGTTTCTAATAACTATGGAAACGCAATGAAGCCCCAAACTCCTGCACCACAATAGAAAAACCAAAATCAAATTTGGTCTATTGTCCAAGGAAAGGAATCAATAACGTGATGTTTTAACATCAAAATTATTTCCCAGCCGTGTGGCTAACCTTGAAGCCCTTATCGTCAGTACTCTGTAGATTTTAAAAGAGTGAAAAATTTAGAGTTAAACACATGGATAACAGCACTCGCGGATCCAGCGTATAAAACTGCAAAATAAACATAGCATTTCTACTCCAGACACTCACTCCCTGAACCATGCTTAGCATGGGCGTTAATTATCCGTCTCCACTGTAAAAAGACAGTCTTGCCCTCTGCCACTTTGTGCCATTCAAAGGGAAAAAACTGTTGAGCTACACTGAAATCTCACACTCGTTTCCACAAAGAAGCCATATGACAGACTAGCGCATTACAAAACAAGCACCCAAGTGATATATAATATTCCAACACAATCTGATCTACAGTTTTTTTATAGGTCACTAGACCAATTGACAGCTGTGGATTAGGAGAGGAGTGTAAGGATCCAAAGAACCCAACAATACAGGATACTGGAAGTAGTTTGGTTTTCATGGACTGTGCTGTAGAACAAAGAGCTTTGTAAATGCAATGACTCATGGGTGTTACTTACAACGATGTGTGCTGGAGAAGGTGACCTGGCATCTTTAAGTGCTTGTCTACTCTGAAGACTTCCTGCTTGAACATCTAGCAGGGGCCATTTCATCTGTAGATACTGGATGGCAGAAAGAAAAAAATGGAGAAAAACAAAAGAAAAACATGTTAACAATGCAGAAAACAAAGGGAAACACAACATAAGAGCTAAAATATCTGAAAAAAAATGTGTGACATAGAAAGTAAAAGTAAACAAAAAAGAAATCATGTCAAAACAATCCAAGATCGAATGATGCATGAGGTGGAACTTCTTGAAAATTGAAACTACTGGTGTTACGATTCATTTACACCTTATGCTTGTCATTCACAAAAATAGCACATTTTGAACCACACACTCAAATGCATTCAGGTGAATATGTTCATTCTTCTTCCTGTATTAATCAGGCACAAATGTTTTATTGGCCTCTGGAATTCCAGGTGGACTTTAGCATTTTTACCAGTACACATAATAAGGGTGTGGCATTGAGTCACTGCAGCGACTGTCCCCATGAATGATTGACCCGGACTTTATCAGAGGTGTACACATGCAAACAGCCCTTTCATGAACCCTTACATCGCTCTTAAAGCCAACAGATGAAAATAATCACCACAATCCCCATGAAGATCTCCATGGTATTTTCAAACTCCTAATTTAAACTGTAAAATCAAATAATTTTTTGAGACCTCAATATATATATGCAAACAGATTTTGAACATATTCTTTGCAAAAGGCATATGCCCAAAATATATTGCATTAATATGCATACCTGTAGGTAAAAGTCTGAGCTTCCTATCCAGCTGACTCAGTGAAAGGAAGTCTGCATATCATTCCATCTTTCTTCTGCCTCTAATGTCTCCCTGAACTCTGACATATAGTCTGGCTGATAGACACAGTCTCTGAATTCATATGTCTGATTTCACCTATGGCCTGCAGGATCTGCTCAGCAGACCACCCGTTTACATGTACCCTGTGTGCCTGAGTGACCTCTCATTTAGAGATCACATGCTGGGGCCCGTTACAAACCTGCTGTTACTGTCCTAAAACCGGTTTGCTTAATGTCCGTAGTCCATTAGCCCACAGCAAGTGAACTTAACCCCTGAACTTTTAACCATAGAGGCTTAGAAACAACCGGCTGATTGTGAACATGTGACTTGGACTCAGGGTTCTATGGCTATCTGAGTCATGGGTGTCTCATCAGGAGAAGTGTGAGGGTCTGCACATTCCTAACACTTGAAGTGTGGCTGTTGTACTACACAGGTCAAGGGTTAACTGGATCCTGATTGCTGTTATTATGGGAAACCTGAACAGCAACATACACTTGAGGTAAAAAAAAAGTGACCATTGGAAACCGCTGCTCTGTTCAATGACAATAAATTCAAATAAGCATTCAAACCATCTATGCTACTACACTGGAGGGTTGAGTGGATTTGCATGTGGGCTTGGCTGATGAAAAAATATTTAAGGAAGCAACGTTTAAGTTGGAATGGGAAAGAAAAAAGGAAAGAAACAAAGAAATGAAGGATGGAAGGAAGGAAGGAGGAATGATGGACAGAAGTGAAAAAAAAGACAGAAAGAAATGTGGGGTAGACACAGCAGCTGGGGCTCATTTTCTCAACCTTGGCGCAATTTTGGATGCAGTCTTGGGCCCATAACATGAAAAATGAATTTAGAGTACACTCTACATAAAAAATGGTCCTCTTTTTAGGACTAATGCATCCTGTGCTATACTTCATCAGATCCCCAAAGGAAACTTCTGACAAGTCAGTCAGCCTTGTAACTTGGTCTCCGATGCTGCCAGGACATCAACCACTGGGCTCCAAATCAACTGAAAAAACCAAGTGAGCCACAAATCAGAATCAAATTCATTCCCATGTCTGACCAGATCTGGCCAATCAGGGTCAACTTTTCAGCTCTTACTCTCTGTCCTCTTCTATCCAATCAAACAGCTTCACGCCTTCCCTTCTTACGGCCTATCGTTGAAGTTTTTTTTGACCTTTCCAGGCTTCTGAGATTTTACTCTTCTTATGAGGACATTCTTTGCCAAAGACAGAAAAAGAGCGAAAAAAATGCCTGATTCTGCGGCTCACCATTTAAGCAAGTACCCATGAAGTGAAACTGTAGTTTGTTCATGTGTCTTCAAGAATAGCACTGAATCGGAGCTAATTAGAGGTGGATTCACAGCAGGGTGCAGTCCTGTGGTCCAGCCTGGAGGGACTTTTGGACTTCTACCTCAGCCTTGAATTGAACATACCCACCTCCAACTAGTCAAACAATTGCTGGTATACTGAAGCCTACTGTTTGACAGGTGGACAGGAATGCCAAATTTTTAAGAACCTGTTGGGATCAGCTCAAGTTTGATGCAAAAATAACATGTAATATTCATAAATAAGTCTTAGTTTGAAATGTGTGTGCATGTAGGTCTAGGTAATATCATGGTAGGCAGGACCAGGTAATGTCCTGTGCTCCGCCGCTATGCAGTTTAGTTTGGATGGGGTGAAAGGTGACACCTTGCCAGTGTGGGAGCTGAAAGCTTAGTGCACGTACTCTGACAGGCGTATCCACTTCAGACCTTTCCCTTGGTCTAATCCCTCCTGCAGGTTTTACAAGCATGCCAAGGAAAGCTGAGCCTAGACCAGTGCCAAAGTCCCAGCAGTGTTCCCTCACAGCCCAACCCCCTACACCACCCCTGGCCCGCTGACGGACGTACCACTTGGTTTTGAGAAGGCCATGACCTCTGACCTCCCCCTGTCTCTTCTCTGCCTACTAAAAACTCTCCAGCTAGGAGGCCCCCTTTCACGTAACTCAAGTGCTATTTTGATGTGACAAATTGCTCTTGGGCTCCGGAGAACTCCGTACCCTCTCCCTCAGTCTTCAGACGTACCCAGAGTGCTTACTCTGTCCTGGGGCCCCAACAGTAGGGGCTCCCCTTTGCCTCCCCCACCCTTTAGCAAACCCTCAAGTCTTGCCTCGCCTTCTCCTGCCTTGCCTCAGCATAGCTACAATAGGAATGAATGACTCAATTGTCTCTGATGAAGTGAAAGACAAGGGAGCCCTCTAAATCCTCCCAAAGGGATGAACTCTCCCTCTGTCCCTCTATTGCCGGGAGAAACAGAGAGAGGGAGTCAGAAAGACAGAGAGTGAAAAAACAACAGAGACCAGAAGTTGCTTAATCAGGTTTTCTGGCAAAATCTTTTCACCTAAACTAAATTTTGCAGCCTGGCCTTTGCAGAACCCCTTTACTTTTCATGGAAAAACATTCCAAACCAGAAATCCACTTTACAATGTTAGGCCTACAGCTAGTCATCTGGATTATGGAAGCATTTGCAACTGTAAGTAAACAAGAGCAAACACAACTGAATGTGATAACCAAATTTAAGCTATGTAAATTGTGTGTATGATTTGTTTTTGGATTAAGAGCAAAGGCTTTTCCACAATCAGACAAATCAGATGCCTACTTTGTCAAAGAGGCTCGAGATATACAGTATGTGGATCTATTTTCAGCCTTTCAGCATGGGATGAACCAATGCATCAGAAAGCATTCCAGCCACATTAACGATGTGCATAGGGAAACCTGAAAACAAAAGGGTGGAAGGGGGTTCGCAAGCACTCGGTGAGCCAGTTTCCCACTAGAGATGCTCAATAAGGCCCAAAAGATCCCAGACCATCTGTGCACAGGGGTCAAGGCTATATGCAGCTACTAACACATGACACATGCATCCAAATATTAACCTAACCATTAGGGCTGTGCGATTAATCAAAATCTAATCGAAATCGCGATTTGAGACATTGCGATTTCCTAATCGCAAAGCCTGCGATATGGACGCGATATTACCTTGAGTTGCAGTCTTACTAACCAATAGAATGAGCGCACATCTGTTCTTCCCAATCAGCACTGCTCTAGCCAACTGCGTAAACACCCACCATTAAAAAAAGAGAGACAGAGTGGGATTATGGCGTCTACTGGGTCAGATCGATAATTAGGCAAATTAAAACTAAAGAAAACCATATGCAACTTAAGCTTCGAAATGACAGACAACTAACAAAAAAGATTCCTATTGGAATAATGCCCAAAACAAAAAGGAATTTTGTAATGGTTTAATGGAAACTATAAGAATTTCTGTGATGTTTCAATTGTTTTTTTTTCAGCATAATAGTTTTTTTCCCATACTGTGCTGCACATTATTGGCAATATTGAGCTGAAGCTTGACTTTGCTAATTTAAAATCGCAAATCAAATCGCAATTGCAATATCTGTCAAAAAAATCGCAATTTGATATTTTCCCTCAAATCGCACAGCCCTACTAACCATCACCATGTCCACATACTAAGGGTGATCTAAGGGTGTGAGAGAATGACCTCTCGCTGACGGCAAGAATGAAACAAGACATTATTTAGACTATGACACCTGAAATTGACTGATCAGATGTGACCTGCTGGGTAGTGTGCAAGCTCTAACATGTTGCACAGTGCTTTGTCCCAAGTTCGAGTGCTGATCAAGTAATCTCCTGGTTCCACCATCTTCTTGTTATTTCCTTTCTCTGTAAATAAAAGCAGCAACACTAATTTAGAATCTAAAAAGAATGTTTAAGAGGCTTTCACAAGTGCTTGTTACTAGGTTCACATTGAGAACCACACAAGTTTGTATAAGATTTGTTATAAATACCACTCCCACTGAACAAGCAACAATAAAAAGCCCATTGTTTTGTTCACAGGTGCTGAGGAACAGGCAAGCATGGATACATACAGACAAACTCTTAATACACTCACTCTCTCAAGAGGAGAAATTTTGGGGGGAAAGGACATAATAATGATCCAGATAGGCTCTTTGAAATTCACTGATCCAAAGAGAAGGGATGTGCCCATCTGTGAGACTCCCATCTCTAGAGAGGTAGAGAGAGCGAGAAAAAATAGAGAAACCATGTGTGTGTGTGTGTGTGTCTGTCTGTCTTTGTATGTTTGCTTGAAACATTCAAATAGCCTTCATTTTGGATGGATGGAAGCATGTTGGAGGTGGGGGCTAGGAGTGGAGGTGGTGGAAGAGGAGGAGGAGTAGCTCAAGACTAGATGAAACTGAAAGTTAGT